AGACTTGATATGTATATTATACTATTTATAAAACCTGATATTATATGAGATTCATCACTATTATTTTATCAAATCTATGTCTTATTACTTACATAACCTAATATACACTACACTATATTCATGGGATGATCTAATATCAATCATATGAGACTCGTCATTATTATTTTATCAAATTTGTATTCATTATACTTACTATATTAATCACACGAATCTTCGATATTTATTATATCATATCATTTATATATGACTTAATATCAATTTTCGATATATTTACTGCATTATTGCTATTCTATACACATAGGATGACCTAATATTAATCGCACGAGGCTCATCGAATCCGATAAAAGCCTACTCGATCTTTCCTCCCTGGAACATTCGATATCTCGATTAGAAAGGCCGTAGTCTCGAGTACTTACATGCCTCGAGTCTGCACAGTATCTGTCTGAAGAGACTGACGCTTATAAACTCTCTGCCACAAAGTCGCGATCAAAAATCGATAAAAGGCCTGTCTTACCGAAGAGACTCTCTCACTAGAGATACACGATGCGATTCCGCGTGATATGATCGCCGTATGGTCTCCAGGACAGGTAAAACGGGGCCTCTGATCTTATCTCGTCACATTGTCATACCTATAAGTCCATTAATTCTTTTTCCCGTTCCTGAAAAAAAGAATAAGGCAAAAATAAAAAGAATATTCGTCGATTTTGGACAACTAAAAAAAAAAAAAGAAGAAATCTTGCGCACTTATTCTCATATTTGGAATTAACGGTAGTCTGATCGATTTCGGTTGTGTTTATTCATTATTCGTTTAAAAGGAAACGATTTGTGATGTGCAATGCGCAAAGGATTTTGATTGGTTATGTTTCGAAATACGTCACAATTATCAACCAATTGCGGACGAGTATTTTTCCTTAGACTCTAATAGGTGAAAGATATTTTTCATAAAATTAGGTTATAATTTAAGGAATAAAGAGAAATATAATTATAGAAATTGTTGTATAATTTCACTTACTTTTATTGCGATTCTAACTTTTACTGTAGTCCATAGCCTTTTTCATTATTTTGCATTCTTCTTTAATATATTTCTTCTTCGATATCTATCTCAGAAAAAGAGGAGAAAGAAAATTGAAATCTTCGCAATTAAATCGTGAAATGAGAATTAAAAGATTAATAATTCGAAAATAATAATCGAAAATTTCAATATTTTCTAGAAGAATTTTGATCATTCGATCGGTGGATCATGTAAACGGAAACGAAATCGAAACCGGTAGAGGCGAGATGAAACGATAAATCTTGCGAGAGGACCCGTTCCTGCCTCCAGAGGAGATTAAGCGTTTCTTATAAGGAATGATCTCGACCATTCATCAACCGGCAGCCAGATATCTCTTTCTCTGATTTCTACTCGAGTCACCAGGCTCGTTAGTCCCCTAATAGCTTAAACTCTTTTCATTTTTCCAGCTTTCTTTCCTTATCCTTCGAAAATTGTATCCAAGATGAACAGTTTTATATAATCGCTAATTAGAATATCCCTCTATCATTTTCGTCTTGGAACTATAATTTATCTAGTGTATCTAAGAATCACTGTCAAATGAGAATCGTTAATGGTGAGTTTAAAGTTTAATTGAAAATTGGAAAATTATTTTAAAAACAAAATTATTGAATATATAAGAAAGAAACGGAGAAAAGTGATTGCACGTTATTTATATTACTTTCACTTACTCCATTATGCATATTAAGAAATCCATGCATATATAAATTATCGATTTTTTTTTATATCATGCAGAGGCAATCTATTACATAAATTTAAAGTATGTGTGTCAATTTGAGAACAAGTAGAGTAGAATAAACTTATAGCAGCCATATCCAAAGTAATCTTGAAAATTCTCATTTTCAGGCAATATCCTTTCTGAAAAAATATTTTCAAAATGAATACATAGACAATAACTTAAGAACACATACACGGTTCCAATGAACAATAAGTTCAATTTGAAGATAAAAATTTTAAATAATCGAAAAAAACATACCTTTACACTTTAAGAAGCAAAGAGGAATCGAGGTGTTTCATCTTTCTATTCCCCTTTAATCGGGAGGATATTCGAAGCACAGATCAGGCTGGATCCCATTTCGAGTGAATGGACATTGTTCTGCGGACACCATGGATATAAAGACCTCTCTCTCTCTTTCTCTATCTTCTCCGTATTCCATGTTTTTCAGCCCTACTCTTCCTCGAGGTCCTCTTCATTCAGCCTTCTTACGATCCGGTCGAACCAGTATCGTTGCAAAGAGAACCACCCTTGAAAGTCGATCGAACGCCGAGCTCGGGTATCGATAACAAGCTTGGTAACCCACTTAAGTCCTCGTGGCTTACGAACATTCTTCTTTTCTTTTTCTCTGGATGCTTTTTAATTTTTTCAAACTGCCAGGGATCTAGATTGGTTCCATTGAAGGTCTGTAATTTCGTTCGAGCCTCTCCTCGAACGATTTTTGAACGATTCCGATGGATTGGATTACGATAGATCATGAATTTTAAGAAAATTTAAAAAGATAGAATGAAGTTGAAAAATTTGACTTGAAGATCAAGTATTTTTATGTTTTTTCATAATATTCCTCGAGTGAAGTTTAAAAGTTTATGTTTGGCAATTTTGAAATTGATAAATATAAATATTTGTATAAATTGGCCAAATAAATATCTATAAATATTAAGAAACAAAGCTTAGGTAAAAATTTTCTTATATTCTTCAATATAATTCTTCATATTAATAATATTTATTATATTTAGAATATTTTTTTTGTATATCATGTGTATTTTTGTATATTTAAATTATGCATAAATGCATAATTTATTAATGTCTAATTTTATATTATAAATGATGAAAAATATTATAAGTTGATGAAATGTTTGGATTTAAAGAAGAGAACTGGATTAAGTTTCCTTCTGTTTCGATTGTGCTTTGCGCATAATATGTGGACCGAGATAACCTAGACCGTGTCATAATAGTGAGACGAATCTCATTCCCGGCATTGTCATAAATGTTCTCGTTTCGCGGTGTCCTGGCCGCATTCCCGCCAAGATCGTAATACGTTCTGTAGAATTCATCATAACGACTCCTCTGTTTCTTTATGTATATTATCTTATAGTGATTTACCTTAGGAGACTCGTAAATTCAAATGTATAATATAATTAAAAAATTTATCTGGAATAGAAATATTTAAATTATTAAAACTTTTAATATTTATAACCTTCGATTAATATTCTTAAAGTCCAGAATTTCAGATTATCTAAATCTAATTTAACCTAACCTATATCTTTTCCCTCGAATATTTTATGGTAGCAAGTTCCTTGGACAGAGAATCTCCAATGATTCTTAAATCGAGAAATAAACTATGCACGGAGAGAATCCACCCGTGCGGAGTAATAGTTGGAAGTGAAAGGTGACTAGTGCTCGTTGGAAGTGGTTCGTGCACAGTCCAACGTATTCTGCGACCCCCCATGGGTGTGGTGCCATCTTCCAGCCAAGATTATGGTCTAAGGTACAGTGGACGTTACTCCCTGGGGTCTTCACGTACTCGTATATTATATTTGCCCGAGAAACACTCACTCTGTTCTTCGCTCTATCCTTCGTCCTCTTTTCTTCTTCCGTCTTTGCTGCGTCCGCTGAGAGCTAGAGGCTGTGCACGTGCATTGTAAGAGAAGCTCGGGATCGACGGGTGAATGAGCGTTCATCCATGAGGGTGTGGAGATCATTGTGGTTAGGTTCGAAACTGTAGTTGCGTTGGTCAGATTGACTCGTGCGATCTGTTTGAATGTTCCGTTATTTATGAGACGATTGTTCTATCGTAATGATATCCAAAGGAATGACTTCTAGAAAATATATATCTTGATGATAGTAATTTGGACATTTTATTAGAAATGTGATAAGGATTTAAAAAATTCATTGAATTTTCGATTGAATGTATTAGAATTATATATTTGAATTATTGAGGATATATAGGATATGCAATCGACTTGTCTATTGTATGTACGTGTATACGTATGTCAAGATAGCACATGTAACGCTCTCTCGCGGTTCAATTTGGTAAGAAAAATTTAACCAAATTTATGGAATAAGGAGAATTCGATAAGTAAGTACGTATAATATTCGTCTAAATAGTTCAAAGAATTACAAAAGACAGAAAAATTATATTCTAGGATTATACTACATAAATTATATTCTTTCTGATATTCTACGATAATTAATGACTTACTTTAATAACGTTGATGATATTTTTTTACTTTTGGCAGCCATTTTGTGTCATAAGATATCCACAAGGCAATATAATTTTCTTCGATAATCAATAATAAATAAAAAATAATGAAACGAAATCTTAATAAATTCGTGAGGCTATTTATTCTCTTCGAGAAAATGTGCATCTAGTTTTCAACATTGCGATTACAATTTACTGTGTAGAAGCATGGTAACAGACAGAGTCAAGTTTCGTAATCATTGGTCGATTTAAAGCCTCGTAGAGGATAATTGAACGTGGAGAATATCTGGTCTAACGATATAATAGGCACGAGGCAATTCTGTCGCAAAAACACGTATACCCGCGGCTAATTTAAATCCCCACGCGGTAACAAAAGTTGCAGTGATTATCGGACTATCGTTCTCTCTTCGTTCTCCGATTATCGGTAGTTCTAGAGAGGCCAATTGACCCAATATCATTGCAGATATTCTACGAAAAAAATATATTGGGTATATTCTAAAAGTTGAAATTATTTTCTTAATCGTTTTATCAGGTAATAAATTTCTAATTTTTTTATACTTTTGAATTCTACGTAATATTTTCGCAATTCTAAACTTTCAATCGATACATGGATTTTTTTTATTAAGTTAAGATTTCTATTGATTCGAGAGATCAAATAGAATTTTAACCTAAAATTTTTTTCAATTCTTTTCGATTCACGTAATACATTCTAAACTTTCAATATGAATTTCATTTCTGAGTTAACCTTAACATTTTAATCGATTTGAATGACTTGAACATAATTCTAATCTAAAATTTTTTTCAGTTCTACAACAGTTTCAAAGTTTGAATCAATATATGTATATATATATATATATATATATATATATATATGGAGTTGGATTTTCTAAAAGGATTAACCTAACATTTTAGTTAGTTCGAGTGGTCACAGAAAAACTTAAAATCTTTTTTAGTTCTTGAATTCTACATAACATATTCATAATTCTAAACTTTTCATTTACATGAAGCCTATTTCTAGAGAGAATTTATGATTTCGATCGATTCGAATGCTCGAACAGGATTCTAACCTAAAATTTTTTTCAGTTCCTGAATTCCACAAGTCTGAACTTTCAATTGATACATATTGAAATGAATATGAAACTAAATTTTCTGAGGGATTAATCCAACAATTCGACCGATTTTAATATTGCAAACAAGACGTATCATCACTATTACCAATCTCATCTCCATCTAACATCCTGCCAATCTAATCACCCATCGGTCGTTGGTTTACGTTGTTTCGCAGTCAGTGTAATTACGGTTGCACCACGGATATGGCGGCCACCACGCCCCCGGTGAAAGGATGATCGAAACGAAACGGATCGACTCGAAAGAG